TTCCTTTTGAATAAATGTGGTCATTATGAACCTCCCTATGATTAGACATGTGAAAACCGTTTTCAAAACCTATGTTTTGTTTTGATGGTTGGGAATACTTTGATAAACCCTTTTTGTTGGTTTTGAATATTCATGATGCTTGGATTTATAAGGTTTCGATTATTCATGCTGATATGATTAAGCTGAGTATTATGTTATGTGATGTGAATTGGATTAATGAAAACCTTGTGAAAACCAGGTAATGAATCCCCGTGGATCCAGATAAGACTTGGATTATGTGAATTGTTGAATCATGCCCATGAATTTCGAAAATGACTTCGAAAAATGTTTTATTTGATTTTTGGAAAGCCCGGGATTTCTTTAAAATCAAAGTGGGGCGTTACACGAGTCTTCCTCTGGTTAAAAAGATGATGATGTTGATAAGGACTAGTCTGTCTAGAAGGCAATCGACAACTTTGGTATGACGAGGTCAAGCTTACGAGCAACAAAAAAAGTGGCGGATGACGATGAAGGTCCATTTGACGTGGACACTGCATCTTCACGTCAGTTTTACTCTCCTTTAGCGGAGTCTCGCTATTCTCTGATTTTCTCTCATATGTATTTTCATCCAGAACGTCTTATTTCTCTTTCTCTTTTGAAAAAAATTGGATCTAATGGACTAGCTTCCTTTTGGTGGTTTGGAAAAGTTGGTTATGTTTGTTGGTCGTTTTGCTGATATTCCAACTTGTATGTTAGTGTTGTTGTGCCTGATTCATCGAAGTTTCATAAGGTTTTTGTGTCAACATTTTGTGACTAGGTTTTCCCTGTTGTGATTAATTCCACTCTTTTCTTAGCCACTGATCCTTCTGTGCCTAAATTGGATGATAACTTGGATGAAGTGACCTACTCGCTTACTAGAGGGAAATTAACTAAATAAATCAATCATGGTCTATTTATTAAGAGCCTTACTGAACAACCTAATGCATTGCAAAAGATTGATTCTTTGAACTGCACACATACGTTCCATGAACAAAAGGTCACACCCATCGAAGCTAGAATCATCTATAAAATTTTGTCTGGTAAACTATTTGATCTTGGTCTTGTCATCTTCGAGTTTTTTGTATCTTGTGTCGGTTTGAGTAAGCCACACAAGTTTCTTTATTTTTCCTCTACAATTTTTGGCATTCTGTCCGAGGGTGGAGTAAAACTTGATGCTCGAGTTGGTGATAAACTTGCACCTTCTAGCAAGCCACTCAGTCTGTCCTCCAAAAAACCAAGTCTAGAAGTACCTTCGTCCATAAAGGCTTTTGATGTCACCAGTCAATTGGGCACATTCCTTGCTTAACAAATTTCCATGTTCGGAAGCCTTTAGAAAAAGCTGGTTGATCAACGAAGATACTACAAGGAGGTATGACCCCTAAACAAAAAAAGAGGGAGGAAGTCCAAGGCAAGAAATCTGAGGCAACAGGACAAATGGAAGAAGAAGAAGAAGAAGAAGAAGAAGAAGAAGAAGAAGAAGAAGAAGAAGAAGAAGAAGAAGAAGAAGAAGGAGAAGAAGAAGAAGAAGAAGGTGGCCCGAATCTGATGACGATGAGGACGGTGATGTTGGTTTAGAAGAATCTAATGGTTCTGATTGAGCTGGATATTTGAGGACATTGCTTTTTACTATTTTCTGGGGTCTGTTTTAAATAAATGCTGCTTAACTGTTTGTGTGTGGCTCAATTAGAATATTCTTTGAACCTAAAGGAAGATTAAAGTTATTTTATTTCATTATTCTATGATTTGTTTAATTAAGGACTAAGTTCGGTTAATTATTTTGTAGGTAAATTTCAATATGACGACACTTACCTATTTTAGAGGAAGTGATGCGCTCACTAACCTTCCAAAAGAAGCTGAAGCTTGCAGACGGGGAAAGAAGCACTTACCATATATGAAGATAGGAGATCGAAGCAAACATAATAATTGAAGTAAAAAAAGGAAGGTAGCGGACTAGAGAAACTTTTTACTAATCAAGAAGCTTATATGAAGACTTCCACATATCATCTTATCACTCACGACTGAGAGATTAATTTTCTTTAAGTATTCTGTGCAAATTGAGCGACGGGTCGACTTCAGCGAATATTATTTTTTGTTTATTGTGTGGTCGAATTAGAGAGGATGTTCCCTGATTCAAACCTGATTCATTGTTGTGAAAATTCATGGTTTTTGGGATGAGCACCATCATGCAGTGTGATGGATTCATAGTGTAGAATTCACAAGTAGTGGTTCGAAAAAGCAATTCAGTGAAATGTTTACAACATAGGTCAGAAAGAGAGAGTCTTATGTGTAATTCCTAGTTGTAATGGCCAAATACTTGCAGCAACGAAAGAATCCTGAAGGGAGAGCAGGATACTCTCCTGAAGGTTCAATTTTGGTCGGAATTGACTCCATATTTGTGGTGAATGTTCATTGTTTACTTGTTAAGCGCAATTTTGGCACTCTAAAAACTATCAAACTGAAATGAAGTAAAAGTACTTCCAAATAAAAAAAATATGAAAATATTTTATTGTAAGTGAGAAGAAGTATTCTCTATAAAATTTATGCGACTGACTAGAATTGGAATACTAAGTCGATCGAAATCACCGTATAAAATTTTGGTGCAGATTTTAATGAGTGACGAAGTAAATTAAGAATATTTTTTCTCTCACATCTTCTCGGTTTTCCCCCCTTTTCTCCCCTTCTGTAACATATATTTCAAGTGTCATTGGCCTTCTCCACTGGGCCGCCTGGCTCCCGACGACGGCCACCTCTTGGTAGCACGACTCTCTCTCTCTTGAGGCCGATGCTGAACTTCTTGTGCTAGTCGGACGGGTCGGGCGATTGGGCCCGTATGGGTGTCGCCGATTTCCCTGGTCGCCTTAATGGGTGGAAGTTGTCGATCTTCCGAGCAGCGTGACAGCGGAAGGCGTGGGTGTTCCTATGGGACTGAGCGTGGCTCCGAAAACTTGTGGGTGGTTGGGGCTGAGGAGTGTGGGCTCTTTTTCTTGTCCCCTTTGCCCCCGGTGCGTGGGCGAGGGGTTGGCCGACGTGTCGGGCCTGGCTATGGTTTGGGTTGTGCTCCAGGGCGGCGGTGGTGTGGTGGGGGTTAGCTCTCTTTTCTCCGGCTAAGCGGTGGGTTCGGTTGCCTAGGCATAGTGTCGAGTTCGTGGTTGTTGGTTTTAGTTAGGCTTCGTGGCAGTTTCTGAATCTAAAACTAAGGGCATGATCTAATCCATATAGGTAGTCGTTCTTGAGTGACGTCGTCTGGTTTACTCAATGTTTTTTTTTTTTCGTCTGCGGCACAAGATTTTGTCTATTTTTAATTTGTGTTTGTGTGTAGTAAGTATTTTTCTATTTTTCTTTGCATTTTTTATTTTATTATTCCTTTTGGATTTATATTCCGTTGAGAGTATGTATTAATGTGGCTGTGTTCTGGTAGTCCAGACTCTCGTATGAGATGTCCCCAGAGTAGATTCTTTTGACGAGTTCTAGATGTAATTATGTGTTCTATTCTTTCTTTTTCATAAAAACTTATGGTTTCCACATAAAAAATAAAAATAAAAAATAACAAACAAACACATAAATATAAAAATTAAAAATAACAAAGAATTGTCCAGATTCTGACGCCTCTGCTCTCCACTTGTCCACGAATAATAATATTCTATCAACTGCTCCATATTTTTCGAAAGTATAAATGCAAAATAAGAGAAGGGATAATGTTCCAGAGATAATTGTGATGTTATGTTTAACATCTATCTATCAGATAATAATAATACGACCAATGGACACTAATAAATAATACACACACAAGTCACAACCCCCAAAAACACTTGGATAATAGAAATAAAAATAATAGTAGAAATAAAAACAGAAATAGAAAGAAATAAAATAGGTAGGTGTCGACTTCTTAAGCTCCCTGTCCATGGTGGGGGCGTTACGTGTCCCTTGAAGCTTTACCGATTGATATGAAACTCCCATTAATTTGGACCACCCAATTTTTAAAATAACAAATAAAACAAAAATAATTTAGTTTGTGATTATGATACATTCTAAAAACCTAGATATATATAAAAGAAAATCAATCTTTTCATCAACACCACCAATCATTTCATCAACACCACCTTATGAATGACAAAATTATATTTTCAATCTAGTTTAACGCCATAGCATTTTTTATTTCGAGATTTAAATTTTTGTCTTTTTTGATCCTGTAATTTGATATTTTTCTGCAATTCCAGTCGCTTTTAGGGACTGAAATTGCAGAAAAATATTAAATTACAAATGCAGAAAAACTCATTTGGGTTAGTTTTTTATTAGCAATTTAAGTATGCAATTTTAAATTTTGTTGCATTCTCAGTCCCAAATGACTAAAATTGTGTTGAATTTTAAAATCATAAGACCAAATAAAAAAAATGTTTAATTCTTAAGACTATAAATGCCACTTGATCAAACCAACATGAATTTTTAGGACTATAAACATCAATTGATCAAATTATCAGGACGACAATTGCAATTTACAAGAATTTTTAAGACTATAAACATTACTTGATCAAACCAACAAGACTACCATTACAATTTCTGCAGTTTATAGCCAACCACTCAACCCCAATTGATGGCTGCCCCAAATAATGCCATTTATGAATAATTAAAAAAAAATAAAAAAATAAGGTAGTCTCCACATCTAATAAATAAAATAAAATAAAATAAATCATATGCATACACACATTCCACTTAAAAACTGAATTATATGCATCATTTGTATCATACTTTTCCATATCTAATTGCTTCACCAAAGCTGCCTGTAATATGTACACAACTTTAAAAAACCCCAAACTACAACTATACACAAACCGTATACATTTTCAACTAATGCTAAACTTACTGCTGCTTTTCACAATAACCAGTCAAATTCTTGATAACAACCTCATCAGAGCACACATATTATATTACCAGTATGATTTTCAGATATTATATATTAAATTTAAATTCACCACACATCATCATCAGAATGGGGCCCTGTGGGGTTTGCCTTTCCTTCTACTCGAGTTGGTATGGTTGAACGGCGGAGGAGTTGCCGGAGATAGATTGGCGTGGTGGCCGGAGACATCATCCCAGCTGCTACTCGAACCGGAAGTCGTGTCGCCATCCAAGAACCGGTTGAATGCATTCCCTCTCTGGATCTTTTTCGGGGTCGAGAGCTCGAACGAGTCGGGCTCGTCCAAAGGGTCCCGGCTGTGTTTGGCCTTCACCAAAAATGTGAGCTCCAGATCACCTTTCTCCATGGCACTCAGCTGTTTTATGGTGAAACCAACAATATAAAATTCAAATTGAATATTAGAGTGATTCGAATGGAGACCCAAAGTAAAGAAACTAAAAGATGCATCTAGTAAGTGAGATAAAAGTCAAACAATAGGTACTAATTTGGAAAAAACAAGAATAATGAGACTACACAAAAAGAAAGTTTGCACAATTCAATAACAAGACAGAAACTTAATGGGAAAGAAAATGTCACCAAACAAACAGGTCATATGAGAACACCAATTTCAACTAATAATGATACAAGACATCAAAACCAAATGGTAGACTGGTATGCTTCAACATTTTCAAACCAAAACACTTGAAACAATCAAGATAAATGAATGAGTAGTTGAGTGAATAAACTAACCTTGCAGCCGAGGGAACAGAATCTGAAAGCGTCGGGCAGGCCGCGAGCACAGATTTCGCAAGTGTAAGTGATTCCCTTGCCGGGCCTCGGCTGGGGCCTCTCGTTCAGGAATACAATCTTAGCGCTGTTGATCACATACGTCTGAATGCACGATATGTCGATGTACTTCTGAATCTCATTCACCCTCACCACATTATGATACGAAGACCGCCTTATCTGCAATCACCCACCAAACTCCATTCTTTCAAAATTTTCAACAAATTAACCAAAACAATCCCAAAGAAACTCAAGAAATCGCCTGTATTCGAATGATTGAACGAAAAATTACAGCAGAGTTAAGAGTTAGCACCTGAAGAACGTGATGGTTCTTGTGCTGGCCCAGGCAGTAGGAGCAGAAGGCATTGCCCATGCAGTCCAAGCAGAACAAATTGCACTCGCTTTTATGAGAATCCAAATGAAGTGGGCAAGGCGTAAAGTAATCGGCCCTCAGCATTGGTTTCAGCCATGGAGGCCCAATATCCTCATTTCGCATTGTCACAATGGGGCTCACCTGACAAAAACAAACAGAAAAGAACAGAAAAACAAGAAGATAAGAAAATCAACTCAGTAATTAACGGGTATACAGAAAACCCATGACTCGAAACGCTAAATACTCGCTTATATTTGGCTAAAAAATGAATCTTTTTTTTTATATCGAATTCTTTTATCTTGTCTTCGTTTGTGCTCTGTTTCTAAGCATAGAGTGAGATTGAAAAAAAAAAAATTACCATGATTAAAACGAACGGCCTTTTTTCCGGGTTCAGAGTTTCAAACGGAACGGAACAAGAATCTGCGGAAAAACAGAAGAAAAAGAGATGACAAAAATGTAAAACAGTGAGGAGAGAGGAAAATACGCCGCCAAAAGAAACAAGAAAGAGAGAGAGAGATAAAACCCTCCTCCAGAAACCTCGGCAGATAAGAGAGATGACGAAATAATAGCACCCCATATCCCAAAAAACTACAGTAAAACCATGGAGTCTGTGCGTGTGTGTGTGTGTGTGTGTGCGTGTGAGTTTTCCGGTATGAAGAGAAGAAGGCGTACCGATGACGAGGGACGGCGGAGGAAAGACGGCTAGGCTTTTGGACGGTGGTGACTGATTAGAGGTGAAAGACTACTAAAAGCAAAAGAATTTTATAAGGCGGTCACTTTTTTTAGGAGCATCAATTTAATTTAGCACAGAAATTGAAATATTTTATTAATATCCTGTAAAATATACAAGGGGGTGTCTAAATATACAAGGGGGTGTCTATATGTACACCCCCTCAAGTGTAAAAAAGGGGTGTACATATAGCATTTTTCTTTGTGTAATTTATTAAAAGGGGGTGTACATATAGCATTGCCCATATACATTTGGCATTTTGGGAGCAAGAATTGTGGAAAACGTAATTGAAAAAAATAATAAAAATAATTTTAAGTAAGGAAATCAAAGTGGGGATTTTTTTTTTTTTAATTAAGGCGGTCACTTTAGTAGTACGGAATAAAAACCAATATTTGCGTAAACATTATACTTTGTTTAATTAATAATTTTATTGCATTTGATTTGATAAATGTTGGTATAATATAATGTGGGGGAGAACGTGCCAAAGGGGAAATTTAATTATACGGCCAATATTTTTCCATGCGGCTGGGCACAAAAATAATAAGTAGAATAATAATTCTCTATTTAATACCAGAGACATATAGTATTTCTTAATACTAGTATTTGATCATGTCCATTTGCACATATACAAAACAAGTTTTTTGTTTGTATTAATTAACTAGTACAACACCTGTGTATTACACGGGTGCTTGTTAAAAAATTATTCTTAAATTTTAAAATTAATGAAAAAAATATATTAAATTTAGTTTATTTTTTTACAAAAAAAATATATTACTATATATTTTAGAATGATATGTGTTACTTATGACTTACATGTGTTATATTATATTAGTTTTTATAACTTATATCATATAACTACTTGAAATATAAATATATTAGTTGATAAATAATTTTATTTTTCTAATTAATATTAAAAATAATTTTATTATTGTTATAAAGATAAATATAATTTTTTTTTTATACATACAATATGGATGTTAAATCGAACCTCATCAAAAGAAGATTAATTTGATATATTACATATGTAAAACTGATAAAAAATACAAAAGTTATTAAATTTTAAAATATATATACAATTCAATAGTTATAATAAGGAATAATATTAAAATTAAAATACAATTAATACATGTAACATGATCATAAATAATCAACATATTTATGGTAATCCAAACCTAATTATTTTTGGTTTGGAATTAAATTAAAATTTACCCAAGCCTAATAACGAAGCATGTAATTTTGCCACATAGGATTCCGAAGCACCAGAAACAACCACGTAGGCTCAGCGCGTTCTGTATTAATATATAGGGGGGATTAGACATGTATTTCTATCATATAAAAATTACTACTTTTTCTTAAGTTATTTTTATCATTCAAAATTTTGAGATTTAAATTTTGTTTTAACCATGCAACGTTTACATTAAACATGTCTAAAATCTTTTTCACCCCGTTTTATATCTATTCTTTCTTTTAAACACCACCCCGTCAAATAACTTCTTTTACACCCCAAAATTCACGAAATGTTATGCGATATTACACTCGCATGTCCAAATGAACCAGCGCATATCCAATTGGCCACATAATATATGACTATGCGTAAACATTTCGCATTTTTTTAATCGCATATCCACATCAAACGCATAATTTACAAATATGCGAACATCTTTCGTATTTTTAATAATCGCATATACAAATCGAATGCAGTATAATTTACGATGATTATGCACCTTCTTTTCGCAGGGCTATATCGACCTTGCAAATTTATGGCTATGAAAATATTTCGCATCTAATTGGCATAATTTGTTGAATACGCATTTTCTGGTAATTGCACATCCAAGTCAATCGCATAATTTACTAATAAGCGAAAAAATTTCGCATATATCCTCCAGATAATTGGCAATTATGCGACATTTTTTCGCTCGCATATTTAAGAATCGCATAACCAAATCGAATAAAGCATAATTTTTTTGACGATTATGCGCCATTTTTTCGCAGGGCCATATCGACCTGACAATTTTACGACTATTCGAAATTCGTACGCAGATCTTTCGCATAAGTTGCACACCTCATTAATTGACTGTTTTTTCACAGGTGAGGATTTGGTCTCTGCATTTATCATGCAGGCAAAAAAACAGTGATCTCTAAAAATTTAACGTCTGCACCATTCATTTACTGCATTTTTCTGTTTCTTTTTTTTT